GTAATAGTGGAAAGCAAGACACAAATAGTGTGAATCTCCCTAACAGGGACACAGACAACAAAAAAAAAAAAAAACATGTCAGCTGTGCTAATCCACCTCCAATATGACCAAAATTTAAAAAGTTTTGCCTTTATACTATAAGGCTAGGTTCACATCTACGTAGATTGTGGTTGATGCATTTCAGGGTACAGTTTTGCCTTTTTTTTTTCACACCCGTTTTTGATGTGTGTGGGGGTTTTTTTTTTTTTTGCATATTTTTAAAGCATTTTGTGCTTTGTGTGACTTTAGCTGGTTGTCAAGGAGCGGTTGGCAGCCGGCATCCTTGACAACCAGTAAACATGGTCGTTAAGGAGCAGACAGCCGCTGACAGCTGAATATAAACCTATTGCCAGCAATAAAAAAAAAAAAAAAAAAGAAAACAGTGTTGGGTCTCCCCCCAATCCTTACCAGGCCCGTTTGGTTCTGGTATGGATTTTAAGGAGAACCCCATGCCAAAAAAACGGCATGGGGGGCCCCCGCAAATTCCATACCAGACCCTTATCTGGGCAGGCGATCGACATCCCCCCCCCACTTCCCCTCCTGAACCGTACCAGGCCATGTGCCCTCAACATGGGGGGTGCTTTGGGGCTGTGTGTGTGGAAAAAGCTGTATAATAACCCAATAAATTCATGTGCTGACAGGAAGCAGAGTGACAGTGGTGAGCTCTGAGCATAGGACTACTCACCAGTATTGTCTGTGGTCTTCTTGCACATAATCTTACCCCTTTACTGATTTACCATGCTTTGTTTTACTCTGTGTATCTTTGTAGACAGCCAACTTGGAACAGCAGGGCTTTGCTTCCTCATGTTAGAGCCTTCAGCAAGGAGGATAATAAGAACAGTAATGACATCACCAAATCTTTTTCTAAATTTCCTCAGACTAGCAGTTAGGGGCTGCAGTGCCTTAGTCTCATACTGCAGATACACACCCATAGTGCTGTAAACACATAGGCATCCTCACATACCAGGACTTACTTTGATATTGTTCGGGAGGAATTCTAGACAAAAGGTCTATTCAGGGTACTGCTTCGGCAGAAATAACATTTCTAGATGTTCCCTAGGACATAGAAGACCTTCACTTTCTAAGTTCAGTTTCACTTTAACTCTCCTGCAGCACTCCCTGAGACCTCGTACAAGTCTTGTTGCAGCTCCCTGGAACTCCCTGTACATGTGGTGTTCATTTTGGACATATCTCATTGTCCATGCTTCCTCTTCTATTAACCTTCAGTCAGGTGTCATTGAACTTCCACATGAGTTTTCATTATGCCCCCCGGCCTGTACATTGTGGTAACAGTAAAATGTGTGTTGCCTCAATACCCAATAGTGCAGTACACTCTGTCTGGTGTCCCTGTCCTGTTTATTAAAACTTCTGTTGGGTGACCTGTAAATGTAAGTAATCGTTATCTGGTATCCTCCTTCTACAAAACTACCTTGTCTTCCTTATGCTATTTATGCAAGTGTCATGCAGACTATACTCAAGCCATCTGTCATTATCCTCTCCAAAATTCCCTCATCTTCTGTTTAGAATTTAGTCAAGTGTCATATGCCCTGTTATGGTGTGTCATTGCTCCCTGTGATCTATTTCTGTTTTTTCTTAATCAGTGGTCATTAAACTGTCACGTTTGTCCTGCTATTTGTTTATTACTGCTTTTCTGTGTTAATTGACCTTTAAATGCTTGTGTGTCAGAAATAAAAAATTTTTTGTCACAGTCAGCAGAGGTTCCTTAATGTTACAAACTGACACTGCTAGAGCCAGCAGAACATCCACTTCACATCACATGAACCACAGTTCCAAATCCATACGCAGCCCGATACATTGCAGATGAGATGGGTAATGTAATGGTTGTGCGCATTAGACACATGGAAGCTGTAGGTGACAGCCATCTTGTTCAGGTCTCAGACATTTTTTTTCATGAGCTCAGTGATGTTTCCTCCACCCTCTCACACAATCTATGGAATTCATATCCTTAACTTTTAACACACCTCAAAAGAGCCTGTTATCTCAACTTAGGGACAGTAGACACCGGCACACAAGCCTTGGTCAGAGCTGTAAACAGCTAATTGAGTCCTGACAGGTGCCTGTTTAGTTTCTAATGACAAAAAAAAACTCTACAGATTAACACTTCCCTCTGACCTATCGTAAAACTGACAAAACCCGTCAGTTCTGTCGAGCATGTCTTGTAGGGCACCTGGAGTTTCTGCCTTCTCAGTCAAAAGGTGGTGGTGGTAGCTGAAAGTGATTAAATTGCTTAATTAACTTAACCCAGTGACAATTGCTCTCAGATGGCTGGCATCTAGATTGTGGTCCCACGAGCTGGAAAATCTTTATGCTGAGAGTGGCATTATATACAGTGGGGAAAATAATTATTTGATCCCCTACAGATTTTGTAAGTTTGCCCACTTACAAAGATTGAAGGACCTATAATTTTTATCATAAGTGTATTTTATATGATAGAGACAAAATATCAACCAAAACTCCAGAAAAAACACCTGATACAAATGTTTAAATTGAGTTGCAGTCCTGTGAGTAAAATGGTTATTTGATCCCCTACCAACCAACACTATGTGGTACACAGATTAGTCCTGTCAATTTAAGAAGGTGCTCTGATTTGACATTATGTCTATAAAAGATAAATGTCCACAGAATCTTTCTTCCATTCAAACTTCACCATCATGGTCAATATCAAATAGCTGCCAAAGGATGTCATGGACAAAATTGTAGATCGGAACAAGGCTGAACTGGGCTACAAGACCATCAGCAAGCAGCTTGGTGAGAAGGAGACAACTGTTGGAGAGATTATTCACAAATGTATGAAATACAAAATAACCATCATTCGCCTTCGGTCTGGAGCTCCATGCAAGATTTTGCCTCCTAGGGTAAGGATGATCATGAGAAAAGTGAGGGATCAGCCCAGAACTACAAGAGAGGAGCTTGTGAATGATCTCAAGGCAGTTGGGACCACAGTCACCAAAAAACCATTGGTAACACAATACGCTGCCAAGGATTGAAATTTTGCAGTGTCCGCAAGGTCCCCTCCTCAAGAAGGCACTTGTACAGGACCATGTGAAGTTTGCCAATTAACATCTAAATATTTCAGAGAAGGATTGGGAGAAAGTGCTGTGATCAGATGAGACCAAAATTGAGCTCCTTGACATTAACTCGACTTTCTGTGTTTGGAGGAAGAATATGACCCTGAGAACACCAACCCTACAGTCAAGCACAGAGGTGGAAACATTATACTTTTGGGCTTTTTCTCTGCTAAAGGTACAGGCTGACTTTGCCACATTGAGGGGCCAAAGGACAGGGCCATGTATAGTAAAATCTTGGATGAGAACCTTCTTCCCTCAGCCAGAACACTGAAGATGGGTCGTGGATGGGTCTTCCAGCATGACAGTGACCCAACACATACTGCCAAGGCATCAAAGGAGTGGCTTAAAAAAAGCACATCAAGATCATGAAGTGGCCTAGCCAGTCTCCAGATCTTAATCCAATCCTATCCTTTTTGGCCGATATTCTCTCTATCATTTAAAATACACCAATGTTAAAAAAAATTATAGACACGTCATTTCTTTGTAAGTGGGCAAACTTACAAAATCTGAAGGGGATCAAATAATTATTTTTCCCACTGTAAGTAACAGTGTGGTGTGAGATTGGCCAGTGACTTGTCACATGTTGGTGAAAAGGGCAGGGGATGGGCACTGCATTCTTCACAGGTAGGTCCGCCTGGTCACATGCCACATGTATTACCCTTGTAAGGAAATGTACAGCAGAGTAACACAGTGTGAATGGGGTCTAAAACTTCTGTTGGGTTCATTATATATCATAAGGTTCACATACATAGTTATTGCATTGTGATTGCATTAAAGCAAAACTATAAATTGCGGCATGTATGGCTGAGCCGTAACAGTCTACATTTGCACAGCATCCCAGGAGTTCTTCATCTTGAATTAAAGCTGAAGTTTGATCTGTGTATATTTTGCTGTGTCTGGTTCCTCCCTATCCCCTTGATGTATTTTTAAAGTAAATTTTTCATTGCATACCTATAATCACTGGGTCTCTAGGCTTCTCTTTGCACTTCTGGTGGGTGGGGCCAGCAGGGTGCTGAACATAGCTTCCTGAAAACTTCACAGTACATTTTGGGAGGAGGTATGCAGATATCAAAATTCATTTATCTGTGGATATCAATCTGGAGGACTGGAAGTCCTACACAGGCTGTAATTGCATGTAGACATTTGTAAATAAGCCCAGCCCACATGGGATGCTGAGTCTCTGCTTAAAGAACTGAAATTCAACAAATGAATAAGGCAGGGCAGAGACAGGCTGGGGAGGAAAGAGCTAGATGACGCTGGATGTCCTCCAGCCAAGAAACAAGATGTGCTCTATTTGACTTGCAGCAGCTTTTAATGCGTTCTGCGAGAATCTCACAGTGTGCACTGAAATCAGTGTAAGCATTTTCACTACAAGACATGAGCACATACAACTGTGCAAGACTGAAGATAAGGAGATCAGCTTTAAAGTGTAAACTCACCTTTAACAAAACACGAAACGATAAACTAACACAACATCCTTCATCAGTCCCCTATATTTACCTGTGTGGGTGATGAACTGTCTGTGCCCATGTAGCCAGTGTAGCTACTATTTTCCCCCTCCTTTTCCCCCTCCTTCTGCCAGGCATCTGGGATAGGTCAGAGCGATTCTGATTGGTCAGCACTGACACAGAGAACCACTCTGATCTGTCCTGGAAGCCGTACAGAAAGAAGAGAGGAAAAAAATGGGGATTTAAAATCCCCAGACCTCTACACCAGCTGTGTGGGCTCTTAACTGCTTATCACCCATTTGGGTAAGTACAGTGGATGTTGGTTCACTTTTTTTTTTTTTTTTTTTTTTAAAAGGTGAACTAACCCTTTTAAAGGTTTCTGTTCTATGTAATAATTTGTTTTTTTTATGTATTTGTTTGGCAGGTATCGCTCTACTCCTCAACATTGCCAGAAATGATGGTATCTAAGCAGGCCTTCATGTTCAGCTTGGGCTCCCTCTATCTCTCTCTTCTATTTGTGTTCCTTCTCATGGATGTTTATGCCAGGCCTGCAAACAATTCATCCTTAAAGGAGAAACCCCTGGACAACAAAAACGAGAATGAGATACTGCCCCCAGATCACCTGAACGGGGTGAAGTTGGAAATGGATGGCCATTTGAACAAGGAGTTCCATCAAGAGGTGTTCCTGGGCACAGATGACTTCAATGAAGACTCTGAGCCAAGCAGGAATAGGAAGAAACTATCAGCTATCTTTTCTAAGTAAGTTAGTGATTTCAACGTGAGTCAGGCAGTGCGCTCAAAGGTTAGTGATTATATATGTTTATAGGGAAATTAATTTTTGTAGTGCAGTGTCTGAAAAAGCTTAAAGGTAGCACAATTCCCTTAAATTAGTAACAGTACAAGTTCATATTCAGTTCAGTGTGGTGGAGCATAATGTGACTGTTAGACGATCTAAGTATTGGTCACTTCTGCAAAGTACCAAAGTTCCTTATAACCGTGGAGGAGCCAGGTGTAATGCTCAGAAGCCCACCACTGCACATGAATTGAAGAATCAGACCATACTGCGATGCTGTGAAGAAAGTTCAGTCACCTTTTATGGGGATACAGATGAAACGGCACACGCTGAGAAACTTCCCACCTGAGGCTACATTCTAATGCATGTCACCCATCCCAGGCCTTAACCATAAGGATAGAGGCAGTCCAAAAGGGAGCTGACTGGCCAGATTAATTGGCCATGATATTAACTCCTAAAACCCATAAAACATTTAAAGAGGCATGTATAGGAAACTATAGTTCACTCCAAGAAGCAAAAATCCTGTATCTGGTATAGATATGCCTCAATAATCTTTATTTTCTTATGCAATAATAAAAAGTATAAACCTCCTACAAGAAAGAACCTCCTAAAAAGAAGACCCCAAATAGAAACAATAAAATCCTATATTCTGTCTATTCTAATATCAATGGGAGGACTAGTGCCCCATTGGTGTCAGTGGGAGGACTGGTGCCCCATCATTGGTGTTAGTGGTAGGAACTATGACCCACTGTTGCTGACAGTGGGGGAATAATGCTGTAAGGGCCGGATAAAAGCAAGCAAAGGGCCGCATCTGGCTCCAGGACCACAGTTTTGGAGACCACTGCTTTAGGAGACAAGATTAGTCATAGGAACCCACATATTTGCCCTCCTTACAGGCTTTTCAAAGTAAATAAAGGAGTTATTGATAGTTTGTTTTGTTTTTTTTTACTGGAGCATCTCGGCCCCCGGAATGGAAGCATGTGTGACTGACACAAAGAAGGAACAAAAACTGAGACAGAAATAGCTCTTTATGTGGGTTTGTTATGGCACACCTCTCTATTGAAGTCTTTGGAAACTTTGCAGTAATGTGATCAGGGGATGCATCCTTGAAATTTATATGTAGAAACCATAGTAAAATTATGGTGGATTTTAAGAAAAGTTAGTCATTATTAGTACTGACTAATATGACTAATCTACAGTACATCACTACTATATCACAACCTAAAAGTGCTAGACATTTGACTGCTGTGACATGAGTCTGAATCACAAGTTGTTTTTTCTGGTGCAGTAGAGTAACAGATCACTCAGAATCGATATTTCAGCATTGAAAAGATGCCACTAGGATGAATTGTTTAACAGATCTGGATGTTTCTGCTGAAGACTCCTAAATATCCTGCTCCATCCAATTGTGATGGCCCTTACAAAGGAGTTTCCACTCTCTGTGTTTCATTTTTCATTAAAGAGGACCTGTATTGTATCAGCGGGTTCCAAAAATGCAAGCTAAGGGGCATAGAACTAGTCACAAGTATTGCTTACGTTAGTGGTAGTCAAATGCATTTGTTATAGAAGGCCTGAAGTGTGGCCCCCTGACATCACCAAAGGGCAGTACATTATATTCAATATATGCAATATTTCAGAAAGCTAACAGAGACCACAGACAACAGAAGATGGTCAGAGCCTACCAACAAGAGAAGGTAATGTTCTAGGAGTTGTTAAACACGGTCATAGACTGAAGACACATTAGCCGAGATTTCTAGACATTGCCAAAACATGGACTAATGTCTGCAGGGGACTATCTGCTTTCTGCAGTTGATCTCTCTTTTACTGGCTTTCCATGCCACCTTTTGATCCACTGGATTTCAGTATTGGGTGGGCTGAGGCTTTAATGATTTGTGGTAGGTCTCCTGACATTTTCTTCTTCTTTTGTGTCCAGATAATTTCTAACAAATACCTGTGTGCATGTGGGTGTCCTCCTATTCCCTTAACTTTGGGCTCATGTATTTCTCTTTTCTCTGCTTTAGGTCCAGTGTAAGGTCCCTTTCAGACTGGCATTCTGATCAGATCTGTCTGTCGTTTTTCAGGCAGACCTAATTGGGAGGTCAGTGCAATTCTATGGGCAGGCGAGTGTAAATCGAGTCTGCTTTAAAAAAAAAAAACAAAAAAAAAAAAAACTCCATCCTCTTCTGTCTAGGCCAGGGGTGTCAGACTAAATTCCTCAGTGTTACAATGGCAACCATATCTGTAAGACTAGATGTTTGGAGCACCCCACTCCTCTTACATCAGATGTCAAGAGCCCCTCCCACCATCAGAAGTCAAGAGTTCCCCATCCTCCCTTACATCAGTGTATTCCCCCCCCACCTTGTGCTGCTGCCAGGAAGAAGTTGGAGGCAGAGTTGGGAAGCAGGGTCTGGAGGTGAACCAGAAGATGGCAGAGTCAGCTGAACATTGAGACCAGGGAAGGCGGAGACGATGCGGTGCTGTGGTTGCACAAAGAGGATCAGGATCTGGTGGTGTAGTCCTGTCCTCTCTGCTGCTGACTGCTGAGACAAGATGGGGGTAGAGATGAAGAGAGTGCTGTAGCACCTGAGAGGTGCAAGTGCCACGTGAAATGGCCTGGAGGGACAGATTTGGCCTCCATGCCTTGTGCTTGACACGTGTTCTAGGCCGAGCAGATCTGAGGTAGCTAAGTGTAAACAGACAGCACAGTCCGTTTACTCCTGGCCACCCATAGAGCAGAGCGGGCTGTGTCTGTGTCCGCTCTGCAGAAACTGAGTGGAGACGGATGTGTCATTTGCCCGCTCTGCTTTGATCAGCAAGGGATCAGCTCACAGATCTCCTGCTGATCACAACAGAATCCGCCCCATGTGAAAGGGTCCCAATGATTCTTTCCTCCTATATTTTTTTTTACACAGCTGGAAGATTGAGGTGGGATAGTTCAGATGAGCTGCTTAAACTGAATTCCATAATTGGTGCACAGAGGCTACCTTTAGGCTGGTGGTTATGGCTTTACTGGTCATGCACAAGTTGAAGGTTTGTAGATATCTTTTGTGTTTTAGATTGCGCCCTGGTCTCATACTGAACACCACGCAATACCTTGCGTAGTATTGGAGACTTGGGCTACCCCACCTCTCCCAGGTGAATTACATACATTATATATGGCAAAAAGTATGCACCCACTCTGAGTTCAAGTGTTTCTGTTGAAGGCTACTGTTAATGCTACAGCTTAAAAAGACAATTGAGCATTGCTGAACCTTGTGGTAACCGATTGGGGAAGGTCCATTTCGGCTGTGCCATGTGCACAAAGCCAGCTTCATAAAGAGATGGTGTAGAGGAATTTGTGTGGCCTGCCCAGAGTCCTGATCTCATCCTATTGAAGACTTTTAGGATGAATTGGAAACGTTGATTGTGAGTCAGGTCTTCTCATCCAATATTCATACCCGACCATACAAAAGTTCTCTTGGCTAAATGGGCACAAACTACAACATACTCCAAGAACTTGTAGAGGCTGTTGTAGCCACCAAGGGTGGTTGCCAACTATTTAATGCCCATGGATTTGGAATGAGAAAAGGCTAATTTTTACTGAATGTTAACAAACATTTTTGAGTGAAGATCCTCTACTCCTCAGTGCAGTGCTGACGGCAGGTATAAAGGTCTCCCAGCTGGTAACACATCAATTTTGCATTGTTTTTCAGTTTTGGGTTTAGCTGGAATTTTCAGTCACATTAGCAAATATTTTCTTTTGGTGATGCAACATTCTGTTTGCTTTTTTGTTGTATGCCATCCAATGTTTGAGTTTTCATCAAATGTTAATTGTTTGGATTTTGTTTTACATTTTTTTGGACAGAATAATTTTATTAGAAAATTGAGCTTATTATGCAACACTTGCTGCAACCATATGAAAATTTTCGAGCCTGTCCAATAATTTTCTCATTAATTTGACCGAAAAAATAATCAGTCGAAAGACTACTACCTAGTCATGTTTATTGACGAAGTAAAGTACAAAATGTGGTAACGCCTATCAACCAGAAAGCGTTTAGCTCACTGAAGTTATGTCACTGAAAGATCTGCTTTTACTTGCTCATATAGGTTACTGCACTTTGTGGCTTACTTTGTTAAAGTGATATTAAAGGTATTTTGTTAATGACAAACATGTCATACTTACCTGCTCTGTGCAGTGGTTTTGTACAGAGCAGCCTTGATCCTCCTCTTCTCGGGTCCTCCACTTGTGCTCCTGGCCCCTCCCTCCTGCCAAGTGCCCCCAGAGCAAGCAACTTGCTATGGGGGCACCCTAGCAGGCTCGGTCCCTAGCCGCTGCTGTGTGTTCCTTTACACATGGTGCTCGACCCCTCCCCTGCTCTTTATTCACTGGTTGTGATTGACAGTAGAAAGAGTCAGTGGCTCCCGCTGCTGTCTCAGCCAATAAGGAGGGGGAGTCCCGGACAGCCAGATGAAGCTCGGGTAAATATTTAGGGGGGAGCTGAGCTGCTGCACACAGAAGGTGGTTTTTTTTTACCATTTTATGCATATAATGCATGAAGGTAAAAAACCTTGTACCTTTACAACCACTTTATCATGAACCTCTCAGTAATTTTACAAGGTTGCATGATTACATTTCTGACTGTCACAATATACAGCAACTGTATTATTTACAAAAAAAACCCTCCATTTACCATTAAAATGTCATCCTTGAGCTCCAGTCAGTGGTGATGCCTAGTCAAGGATGATGTCATCGGTCTGCTGCAGACTTGAGTATGAATTTCTTCAATCTCCTCTCCCCCAGTGATCAGATGTTACACTTTGTAGCAAGTTACAAGGCGAGAGGTTGCTGCAGTGGCTGATCTGTGTCATATATTTGTGAGCATAGCAAA